TTCAAGCATAGAAGAATTGTAAATGGGCTGATTCATGTCACGCTCATAACTGTGCCTGATCTACAACAGGGAACTGCTGCTTTTTCTTTCCTGATCCTTATTATTGTCATTTTCCTCTACTTCTTTTGTATGTTTGTCATTCTCTTGTGACCTGCTATTTTGGGGTGCCTTGATAGTCGAAGCAGACCATGTGCTGTTGAAGCTAGAGAGGTGAGCAATCTAAGTCTGATTCCCTGTAAGGACTTCTCTGTTGACACCTACCCCTTGGTGCTCATATGACCTTATGCAGTTGCGAGCGCGTAAAACCCTCTACTATATAAAAAGGGGCTATTGTGATGTGGCCCATGCTAGGAAATATTCCCCACAGAAGTTTTTAAAATATTTTTTGTAGAGCCCAAAGAACGGTATCCATGACAGTAATCGATCTAGTACAATAAGTCTATGGGGTTGCGTTTGGAGTCCCAGAAACACATTTCGTGACCCGGATCCACATTTTCCTAAAAAATCTCCTACCTAATGACCTTGAATTCATGTTGGGAAAAAACATTCGTATTTACCTGAGTGCAAACACCTCTCCCAGAGAACAAGTAGACTAAGTGTATAAATTATAATGAATAAATAGAAAATCAAAGAGAAAAGGATACTATTATATTTACCGAGATATTATTCAGATATTTTTTTTATTGATCACGAGGGTCGCTTTGAACCCGGAGACGAACTTAGAGAACTTAAACCGATGTTCTTGAAAGGAAACACTTCAACAGCAATAGGATGGGCAAAAGGGGAAGCCAACGATATATACGCCTAATTGTGTGTGCTTTAAAATCAATAACAAAACGAAGGTTTTAATTGGCAAGATTTGCAAGCTTCCAGTTGCAGGAAACACAAACCTGAATTTAGTAGGCGTTTTACGGCGGGCTGAAATAGGAACATTTCAAACTTTTCGAGGATCGAAAGAGAGCTTTGCGGAGTGGCTGCAACGATTGCTTAGGGTAATAATTTTCTGGGTGGATCTCAGTTTTTTAAAATAC